GATCAGTTGTCAAGGCAGGCCTATTATTTGAGGTTATTTTAATAGAAATTTAAAATAAATTACTTAATATCACTTTCCGAAACAACAGTCATTACATAATAAAAACGAAAAGGACCAGGAAATGGCTTTCATTTTGTTACTGCCCCAGAACTCCCCCCACCTCACACTCTCAGGCTGGGGGTAGGGGGGGCACCTAGGAACGTATTTCCGGTTTCCCGTCTGCTCTGTGGAGCTCGGCACAACCTGTTTCGGCCACATCCCTGCTGTGGCTGTCCCCTGCTTCCCAAGGGACATTTTGGTTCCTGCTTCTGAGCCCCACGTTGAGTCATTTTTAAACACGGCATCATAAAAAGCCCAAAGCAAATCACAAAAACATGATTTGTAATGTGTGACTATACACACAAGTGGAAAACCGTTATCTGGGGGGGAATTTAAATTTCTACTAATTATAAGCAGATCATAGTCACTTCATATAAAAAAAAATCCTCTGTAACTCAATATATTAAGAAAATGAAACTATAACTTACCTATAAATGAACCAGAATGGTTAGTGTAGGGCTCAGGACCCTCACAAGCAATCAGTTCGCTGAGGCACAATTTTTTACACGATGGACCTTCTACCTAGAAACCAAAATACAAAGAACTCCGTTTTTAAAACTCACACTGTGTGCATAAACACAATCTGTGTGTATGTAATGCCTACTGAGCTATTTTCAAATATTTTAAAAAGTAAAAAATTTTAAAACCTTTCAAGAATTATTAAATTCACTTTTCAACTTCTTTTACATCCAAAGATATAAATGCCGCCAGTTTTTCTTCTCACGTAGTCAAAATTCAATGACTGCCCCTACCAGATTCCAGGCTTTCCAGATGTTTTCTTACGCAGGCAATGCCGTAGCTGGGTTCAAAAAACCGAACCTGTACCTGCTGGCAAAGGAAAATCAATTTTCTCTTACCTCAAGCAAGAGGTCATTCAAGTCTTGGTGGCTTCTCAGGAGGTGCACAGCTGATGCCTTTAATTTCTGTTCCCTTTCAGGATTATATTTTTGCCTCTTGACCCTTCCTGCTAATGGGGAAAATCAGTTTCAAAAATCACTGTTTAGAGTGCAATGCGCACCACCCGAAGGATGGACATATTTGAAACTCGGACTTGGGGGAGGGGCAAGGGCAACATACGTAACCTAAACATCTGTACCCCCATATTATGCTGAAAAAAAAAAATCACTGTTTAAATAAGACACTGTGCCATCCTGTAGCCCCGACCCGATGCACTGCGGACACACGCTGTTTCTGTGGGATTCCTCCATTCGGTCGTGAGAAAACACCAGACAAACCCAACTGAAGGACGTTCTATAAAATAACAGACCAGCCCTCCTCTAGCGCTGAGGGCCCAGACAGAACACCTAGGAGGACGACAACATACGACAACATACGACGTGGGACATTATGGGGAAAACCGATGCGATCTAAATCAAGTCTGCAGTTAACAGTACCGAGCCAACGATAATTTCTTGGGTCTGATTCTCGCTCAACACGGATTGTGTGGCTCTCCTGCTAAGTTAAATTCAATGATACTGGACTGACGTTTGCGGTGAAACTTAAACCTCCAGTTTGCAGAGCCCCTATCCTGATGTCCTAGTTTGCCTGGGTCCGCCGGGGAAGGGAGGGGACACCCGGGTCAGGGGCGCGGAGGGGGATCCTGGGAGAAGGAGGGGGTCCCGGGGGAGGGAGGGG